GTAGTGTTTTACGGCACTCGCAAGTGCATAAGGTCATATGAGCGCGCGGGACGCATTAAATTTTCATATTTCGGTAGGAAATTTTGAATTTTTCCTAGGTGACGCCGAAGCCTTCTCTCGTCAATTTTGGACCACCTATGGATCTTTAACGTGCGCAACTTGCACACAGGACCTCAGAGATTTTTCACCCTTGTCCAAGAAGGCTAGATGTAGATCTTTTGCTATCATTAGATCAGGGGTGTGGCTGAAAGACAGCAGAAGGAAGGAGACAAGGAGTAGCAGTAGAAAGGCTGTAGAAAGAGTCAGCAGGAGCCCAGAGGAGAGGGAAAAGGAGGTGAGGGGGTGGGGTCAGAAAGTGGAAACGAAAGCAGACCACAGAACATTGTTAGAGAGCAGGAAACGAGGTGAAAGGAGAACATTTTAGAGAATAACATTTTTCATCGCTATCCGGATTCGAACACAGAACCTGTTGAATGAGAGGCGAACACCTTATTTAACCTCTAGACCAGGAGAGCCCCCCATTTAAACTCAGTGGTTTTAGAATAGATTTGTTAATCTAACGTGGATCAGGCATATATCTGTTAGAACCAAAATCATAATAATATTGGTATCTTTACAGTTTTACTAATAAAGAGAGATTGGAATAAAGGAAGGCTCAATTTCATCATCATCATCATCATCATCATCATCATCATCATCATCATCATCATCATCATCATCATCATCATCATCATGTCGTTGTCGTCGTCGTTGTCGTCGTTATCGTCGTTATCGTCGTCTCTCTTTTTGTTCCCATTGTTTTTAAACATCCTCATCGTTTAGATTATTTTTATGGGCAGGCGTTTATTATCACTGCCCTCTTCACCTCTAAATTCTGTAGGGTATTTCCATTGAAGATAATGACATTATTTCACAATGCGGGAACAAAGGGTTATGCGCATTTACTTAACAAGAAATAGGTCATAGCCTGCTGGCCAGGAATATTGTTATCAGCTTTAGGTACCTATAAGTAAAGGAGAAGGCCAATCTCCTATTTTATGTGTTCAATAAGATTAATATTGTAATCAGAGTACCGTACATACCTACCCAAACTCTACCTTTGCCCTAACCCTTACCTTATTACCTAAATCGAAAAAAAATTGAATAAGACGCTCGCACCCGAAGGGTTGTGATTATGACGGAGAAATATCTCTTCAAAAGAAAAAAAAAGAACCCCCCCCC